AATATCCAGGAGGATAACTATATGATTTTCTTCAGGTTCACTTTCTTTTTTAGCTTCTCTAGGATCACGAATTATAGGCTCAAAGATCTTTAATTATGGCTAGAATCCACTTATGAGTGAGTACATATCATATTCCTCTTTTTGGGACTGGGTTACCTTACTCAGTAAAGTGTTTTCCATTTGCATCCATTTGCATGCAAAATTCAAGATGTCATTGTTTTTTTACTGCTGAGTAAAACTCTAATGTGTATATGTTCCACACCTTCTTTAACCACTCTTCTACTGAGGGGCACCTAGGTTGTTTCCAGGTTCTGGCTATTACAAACAGTGCTGCTATGAACATAGTTGAACAAATGCTTTAGCAGTATGATAGGGCATCTCTTGGGAATATTCCCAAGAGTGGAATTGCTGCGTCCTGAGGTAGGTTGACTCCCAGTTTCCTGAGAAACCGCCATACTGATTTCCACAGTGGCTGCACAAGTTTGCTTCCCACCAACAATGAATGAGTGTTCCCCTCACTCCACATCCTCTCTAGCATAGGCTATCATTGGTATTTTTGAGTTTAGTTATTCTGACAGGTGTAAGATGGTATCTCAATGTTGTTTTGATTTGCATTTCCCTGATCGCTAAGGAGGTTGAGCATGACCTTAAGTGTCTTTTGGCCATTCGAAGTTCTTCTGTTGAGAATTCTCTGTTCAGTTCAGTACCTCATTTTTTAATTGGGTTAATTAGAGTTTTAGTGTCAAGTTTCTTGAGTTCTTTGTATATTTTGGAGATCAGACCTTTGTCTGATGAGGGGTTGGTGAAAATCTCCCAGTCAGAAGGTAGCCTTTTTGTCTTAGTGACAGTGTCCTTTGCTTTACAGAAGCTTCTTTTCAGGAGGTCCCATTTATTCATTGTTTCTCTTATTGTCTGTGCTACTGTGGTTCTACCTAGAAAGTGGTCTCCTGTGCCCATGTCTTGTAGACTACTTCTCACTTTCTCTTCTATCAGGTTCAATGTGGTCAGATTAATATTGAGGTTAATCCATTTGGACTTTAGTTTTGTGCATGGTGATAGATATGGATCTACTTTCATTCTTCTACAGGTTGACATCCAGTTATGCCAGCACCATTTGTTAAAGATGCTTTCCTTCTTCCATTGTATACATTTAGCTCCCTTGTCAAAAATCAGGTGTTCATAGGTTTGTGGGTTAATATCCGGGTCTTCTATTCGATTCCATAGGTCGACTTCTCTGTTCTTATGCCAGTACCAAGCTGTTTTCAATACTGTAGCTCTGTAATAGAGTTTGAAGTCAGGGATGGTAATGTCTCCAGAAGTTCCTTTATTGTATAAGATTGTTTTGGCTATCCTGAGTTTTTTGTTTTGCCATATAAACTTGATTATCTTTCTCTCAAGGTCTGTGAAGAATTTTGTTGGGATTTTGATGGGGATTGCATTGAATCTATAGATTGCTTTTGGTA